CCCCCCCCCCCCCCCCCCCCCCCCCCCCCCCCCACCCCCCCCCCCCCCCACCCCCCCCCCCCCCACCCCCCCCCCCCCCCCCCCCACCCCCCCCCCCCCCCCCCCCCCCCACCCCCCCCCCCCCCCCCCCCCCCCCCCCCCCCCCCCCCCCCCCCCCCCACCCACCCCCCCCCCCCCCCCCCCCCCCCCCCCCCCCCCCCCCCCCCCCCCCCCCCCCCCCCCCCCCCCCCCCCCCCCCCCCCCCCCCCCCCCCCCCACCCCCCCCCCCCCCCCCCCCCCCCCCCCCCCCCCCCCCCCCCCCCCCCCCCCCCCCCCCCCCCCCCCCCCCCCCCCCCCCCCCCCCCCCCCCCCCCCCCCCCCCCCCCCCCCCCCCCCCCCCCCCCCCCCCCCCCCCCCCACCCCCCCCCCCCCCCCCCCCCCCCCCCCCCCCCCCCCCCCCCCCCCCCCCCCCCCACCCCCCCCCCCCCCCCCCCCCCCCCCCCCCCCCCCCCCCCCCCCCCCCCCCCCCCCCCCCCCCCCCCCCCCCCCCCCCCCCCCCCCCCCCCCCCCCCCCCCCCCCCCCCCCCCCCCCCCCCCCCCCCCCCCCCCCCCCCCCCCCCCCCCCCCCCCCCCCCCCCCCCCCCCCCCCCCCCCCCCCCCCCCCCCCCCCCCCCCCCCCCCCCCCCCCCCCCCCCCCCCCCCCCCCCCCCCCCCCCCCCCCCCCCCCCCCCCCCCCCCCCCCCCCCCCCCCCCCCCCCCCCCCCCCCCCCCCCCCCCCCCCCCCCCCCCCCCCCCCCCCCCCCCCCCCCCCACCCCCCCCCCCCCCCCCCCCCCCCCCCCCCCCCCCCCCCCCCCCCCCCCCCCCCCCCCCCCCCCCCCCCCCCCCCCCCCCCCTAAAATCAATACGTGAATGTAAGTGTAAACTCACTGATTCATGATAACGCGATGATCCTGTTATTTTTCGAGGCTTGAAATTAAAGCCTTTTTAGCTGACAAATGTACGAGTGTGTTTTTTTTTTGGTAAGTGAATGTATTCGTTCCTCTTGTAAACTTTATGATTACCACAAGTGGCTAAAACAAAAAATTGCCATTTGGCATTTGATGTACATCATCAAGCACCAAAAAGAACATTACAAACGCAAAACTAGAAGGAGGAGTACTGCTGCATTATCAGAACTTCTAACAGTTTTATTTCTAACAAAATAAGTATGATCTAATCCCTCATTTCTTAAACTTAAAAACATAGGCACAAGTGCATAGAACCCAAATTTCTGACTAATTGGAAGTGGGATCTAGTTTCCACTCATAGAGAACAAGATCAGTCTGGGGGGGTCTCCTTTGATGCTGGTTTTTATTAGGCAATCTGTTAGCTTGGTTACCAGAAAGATCTTCAGAAACCTTTGCCTTTCTCTTTGAATTATTGCTTGACGTTTCCTGATTGTCAGTTAAATCCTCATAATCATCACTAAAATCTTCGTCTTGAATCCTTCGGATAACTCTTCACTTCTTTTCCTTTTCCTCATGGAGGAGCTGATCAAGCATTGCATCTACACTCACGGTTGCATGTCTTGACTTCAAAAACTTCAATTTTCAATTCGTCCAACAAAGTTAAATCCTCATAATCATCACTAAAATCTTCGTCTTGAACTTGGTCCCAATTGCCACGGGTGTTGTACCGAATGCTCATGGGAAGCATCATCCGAACCTTAATCTGTTGATTCTCGATTTGTTTTTGTCTCGTTATCTTCGTTGGATCAAAGTTCACCTGGTAGTATTTGTTCAACACCTTCCTCTCTCCCATGTCTTCTTAACAACAAACAATAAAATTAAAGATTTCAAACTGTTATGAACAAACGCCACAAACAAAATAGAAAAATAAAACAAACAAAATATTTTTGTGGTTCGAATCAACAAGCAAACTTACGTCCACCGACGAAACACATTGACAAAATTTCACTGTCAAAATTACAAAGCGTTCTCAATAAAAAAAAAAAGTAAAAAAACTTATCCCCAAAGATAAAACACGTGGAACTTGAAGTCGATGAAGACGTCTTGAATGGCCAAGCCTCCGAAGACCAAGCTTTTGGACTAAGCAGTTCTCTTATAGGCGGCAAGGTAATCACCAATGTCCAAGTCTATGTGGAAAAATAAAAAAACAGCCTTTGGTCTCCTAATTGTAGTCAAACCAATATTTAACAAAAGGCCAAACTAATAAAGTATTTTTTTTTTTTTTTGGTCTGAGAACGAATAAAGTACTGGAAAATCCTTATCGTAGCAAAAGACGTGTCCCACCCAATTCAATTAGGGTGTATTTGGTTTAGCCATTAAGAAGGACTGAATTGGACAAATCCGTCCATCCTATATTCATTCATCTAGACCTTCGACTAATTATAGTGATAATGACTCCTCATTCCATAGATGGTTCAAGTATTAAGAAGTAGACCACATATTTATCATATCTAATACTTTGTTTGGATAGAGTATTTGACGCCAGGGAATAAAGGAACACGAAGAA